CGTGATACCTCACGCATTCCGGAGAGTACGAATAGTTGTATCATTGCGCCTTAGCAATGCGAATGAAGATTAGTATTGAAGTAGCCACCACGCCGGCCTTGTTGGCTTTCTTTGCCGCTAATGCAGTTTTGACCGCGTCGTTCAAGTGTGCTTTAGCTAGGATAATTATATTTAGCAATTTTTCGGAATTTTTCGGAAAGGCGCTAATAAAGTGCTAAGGCGGTACTTAATATTTGCCGGCCAGTTTTAGTAGACACCCTGTTTATGCGACACAATAATCCCGATATGGAAAGTTGGCAGTTTCGAAAACGCCTTCAATTGCGGCGTGATACCTCACGCATTCCGGAGAGTGTGAATAGTTGTATCATTGCGCCTTAGCAATGCTGGCCTTGTTGGTTTTCTTTTGCCGCGTTTGCAGTGTACGTGTTGCAGAAAAACGTGTTTTATAAATGGAAATTTGGCAACGCCTGAAGGTTCATACGGCATTTTTCCTTAGCACGGTAGTGCACTCCATAGAGGCAGTCAAGAATAAGCGCTATGCCGGCCGCAATGACATCGTAAAATGCCCATGAAAACCAGTGATACACACTCGAATTGGGTCCTCATTGGACTCCAGGCCGAGATATTACGATTTTCGTCGTGGAACGCGGGAAAAATATCGAAATTCGCGAGGAAATTCAACGTATCAAACGCCTTGGTCTTGGACGTGGTAGTCGATGGCAGAACAATGCCGGTGGAATTTTGTTTGCGCCCGGAGAGTTTCCGCATGAAATATTCATCTGCTCCAAGGCACGGGGCTGGAAGCCGGCTTGGAGCCTGCTCAAAAATTCATTCCTTTTCGTATGAACGGAAAGAGCGGATGAAAATTTCTGTATCGAAGCCTCGATGTATCCTCGCACCTCATGCACACCGCACAGAGGGACAGGCTAGGGATTTTACTTAGTTCATGGAGAATCTGGAAACTTAGGTTTCATGTCTATCAGTACGTCTGGACATGCCTGAGAATAGGAAATGTGGTTAGTTCTTGGTGGAAGTCGTAATCAGAGACAAGAGACCCTCCACTCGTATCTCGGGTATTGTGGAAGCTTTTACTTTCGGGACTTCAACATTCTACTGTTGACTTGCCTACATGGTTGATGTTTAACAACGTGTTGGCAGTTTCGTTTTGCAAACAAGTCGAAAATGGCCGAAGTTTGTGAACTTTGTTTGGCTCATGACGTCACCCGGAGCTCATCATCGACCATGTAGGTAGGTCAACACCTGAAATTAGGGTGATGACTGATACTCCCTAATAATTGTCCATAAGGAACTGTTGAACTGAAGTCTGAAATTTCTTTAAAATTTCCACCATATTTTTTGTCAGAACGGCATGCGATATATCGCATCGATTGGTTCCATTTTTTCAGCTACTCGTCATTTTTCTCCAATTTTGAGATCGCAATTCTGTTGTCAGGAGACTACAGCACTCACTTACCAATATTAACAAAGAAATTCAACGTAATAAAGGCGTAGTTTTTTTAGAGAGAAAATATCGCATTCGAGTGCAGTTTCGATATCAGTATCGAATGCGATGTTTTCTCTCTATAAAAAACCACACCTTTATTCCGTTGAATTTGTTTGTCAAAATTGGTAAGTGAATTTATTAGTCTCCTGACAACAGAATTGCGATCTCAAAATTCGAGAAAAATGACGAGTAGCTGAAAAAATGAAACCAATTGATGCGATATATCGCATGCCGTTCTGACAAAATATGGCGACCATCGAATCACCTTAAGGAACTCCTGGCACCTCCCTTCGTTATAATATGAATATGGGGCCCCTAAGGAGAGGAGCTGTTTCAGGAATGACTATGAAAACACCCCCAATTCCTACCCTGTCTCGGAGTCCATTTTCCCCCACGAGAAAGACATCCAGTATTCGGCTGTCTCTTCCCACTGTTGCTCCGAGCCGCGATGACCCCTGCGCGATATGCAAAGCGAGAAAGCAATAAGCATGTCAAATAATTTCCCTTTCATCCTCCCGTTTCCCGCTTTATTTCTTTTTAAATGCGTCCGAAGAATGAACCCGAACCGCACGGCTTGGCAGGCTCTAACGCTCTATCTCTCGCTGCGCCTCTAGCGCTCGCCAACGTTGCTAACGTCGCGCCGCGCCGCGCCGATGCGCTATCTTAAGAGCGTCACTCCTCCGGCCCGATCGTCGCTATCTGAGCGAAGTGAAATTTAAAGCGAAATAAAATTATGAAAATTATTCCGCGTCCGCCGCCGTTGGAAATTGAGTCATAAAAAATTATTGAATTAAATTTTGAATTAGAATCGCACGACCGCGGGAGATAAGTAGTTCGACATTCGTTAGTTCACGAGCGGTGGCAAAGTAGCCAGATCTTGGAAAAAAGAGGGTGAAAAAGTATGGATGTCAATTCATACTTTTCAATCGGAAGCTCTTTCAAATGTTTGTTCATGTACACCGGGAAAAAAAAACAAGCAGTGAACTCCAACACAATGTGTTGATAAGGCGCGTCATTAACTCACACATATCAACCCCTTTAGTTTTCATTTACAGAGATTTCAAAATAGGCAAGTAGCACAACAAGAGAATTCATACGATCCAACTCTTCGACGACGCACTTTGACGAGACCGTGTATTGTGAATGTAGAAAGCCATTCGAACGNGCGGTATACTACGTATACGCGCCAACACATTGAATCTAGAGTCCAGACTCTTGAAAACATCGACAAGGAAAAGTACTCTTGATTCAATCAGAATCTAGCTTAAATCAAGAACCAAGCCTCTCAATTTCGTTTTGATTCAAGCAAAAATCCAATTGAATCAAGATAATTTTTTCTTATCAATGTTTTCAAAAGTCTGGACTCTAGATCCGATGTGTTTTTTTTTTTCTAGTGTAGATAATTTCAGGGACACTTTTTCCATGTCTATATTTATTAGAATGGTTTTTTAGACATTTTTAGAGATTGCGTAGGTGTGTGTTTGCGATGGTGAGGATTGCGTTTGACAAGAAGCAGCTGTAAGAATTATATTGCAACTTGGTTCATGGCTCCTTTTTGGCATAAATCTATCGTTTCAAAACACAGTTAAGTGTATCACCTTGCTAGAAACTTTGTATCATTCTTAAAACTCACCCACCATATTAGCGCATGATTGCGTTCACGATTTTCTGAGACTGTTGAAATGGCTTGCTGCCTTTTCAGTACAGATATAGTATGAACTTATTTCATCCAAACTTTAATTTTTCTAAAATATCATCACTCAATATGTCTTCAGTAATTTTATGTTCAAATTATGAACAGGCTCTACTTTGCAAATAAATACCTAAACACTTAAAAAAAAAAAAAAAAAATTGAAGCCGACGATTCATTGGAATGGGGCTCTAAGATTTATCCAAGTTATTTTAGACGATTTTAGTGATATTTTAGTGATTTTAGACATTTGACTTCATCGGATTTTAGGTTCTCTGTAAGTTCAATAATGACTACATGCAATCGTCCGAATTGTATCAGGATATTTTAATGCTGCTTTGCAAACGTGACTCAGAATTTAATTTATTCCGGTTAATGATGCAATTCTTATTTGAAACTTTTAATGACTAGTACGCAATGGAGATAGAAGCAGTTCTTCTCTGAGAGATGCCCTGATTTTTTCCGCAATAAATTCGGCAACGAGAAGACATTATTACCTAAATGGTAATAGTTTGAACTCAAACTGAAGAAAAAACTTTTTATGTCTGTTTGCCGCGATACGTTTGGGAATTTTTCGACGCCGTGAGGTGAAAGAAATGGAACACGCTGCAAGCTGCGAACCAATCACCGCAACCACAACTTCCTCTGTCTTTGAACTTCTCACGCAAATGGCTTCAACGTGCTTCTCAAATAATGCTCTGACCACCTTTTTTAGTCAAATATTCTGGTTTGATTGTCCTCTTTACAACTGGGAGTTTTTAAATGTCCATCCAAAATATAACTTTTATAAGAGAGAGTGTGCGATTCCTGGACGGTAAAACTTTAATACCATAATTGATGACAAAGGATAATTCTAATTGCTACTCCTCATACTACTTACGCACTAATCATATCTCGAAGAAAACCAATGGTTGAGGAAGTTTTCTTTAGGGGTGGGCGGGGGGGGGGGGGGTTTATAATTTGAATTGAAATCGATTTTTTTTCGAAAAGTCAATATTGACAGCAAAACTGAAAAAAATGCGTATCTCAGTCACGGTGTTTCAAAATCTCCACTCTCATTTTGTATATTTTTAAAGGACACTGGACCAAAATAATGATTTGACATTTTCACAGAATATTCTTCACGTCGAAGAGAAGAATCACCGCGGAGTTTCCAAGAAATTAATTTTTTAGTTTCCCGGGTAGAGAATGAAGAACCACAGAAAAACAGCGAAAACCAAGTTACGCATTCCTGCGGTTTCACCATCGATTTTTCCCCGAACCCACGAATACTGAGTTTTTCCTCGTGTTACTATGTGATTAAAATCACCCCTGCTTACTCACTTTCATGTTATGCGGTCCATAAGCAATAATACCATGCAAAACGCCTTTCCTTGCCAGGAAAAACGCCGTATTAGCCTTCAGACGTTGCCAGATTTCTTTTACTAAAAACCGAATATACTGGAAAAATTTTAAATATTTTTTGTCCAATTTTTCAGATGATTTTGTTCACATCTTGATTTATAAAAAATCCGAAAATTCTATGGAAAAATATGCATAAATCCTCTTAAAAATACATGTTTTATCCTGAAAAATATGGCAACTCTTGAATTTGTATACGGCGTTTTCCCTTGGCACGGCATGAATGGCACGATATTAGGGGGAAGGGACATGATTTGCTCAGATGTTTGATCTCTGAAAGGAATGAGTTTTTGAAGAAAACGTCACACCTCAGTACAGCCACATTTAGACCTTAAGAATCGAGTCGCGAAATTTTCTAATTCAATCCCGAATCACCCTGTATCTTTAAAAAAGAGCGGTGGTTACCTAAGGCAGTTGTATAGCTATAATGGCGCGAGGTGAGTTTCCTGAGCAAGTTTTCCTCGTCCTCCTGCTGACCGATGCCACCCCCAGTGCTACTGTCCTTCAGGTCCAGTTGATTGTCGATGACGTCATCCGGGCCGTCTTCCTCGAGCAGTGACGTCACATTGGGGGGACACTCAACCAAGATAGAGCCCGGCGCCGTGGGCACTTCCATGACCGGTGAGCGTGTCATCGTTTCCGGTTTCACTGCACCTGCAACACAACAAAAAGGTGTAGCTGCTATTAATGGTGACGTCATCAAAGGTACACTGAAAAAAAAGATTGGTAGAATTTACCATTCCTTCACGCTGTATTTTACGCAGCGTTAATTAAGAGTCGATTCTGTCATAAAGGTAAACGTTACTATATACTGGTACAGGTCACCATTCATCTGGCAGAATCGACTTGAAGGAATGGTAAATTCTACCAATCATTTTTTTCGGTGTAGTCTTCGTCATGGGTTTCGGTCTAGAATTCAACTTTTTGTTGCAATGGACTTGATCATGACGTCATGATTGTACAACGTGACGTCATGATTGTACAGCATGACGTCATGCAGGGTAATGACGTCGATGAATCGTAGAACGTGAAGGCCCGAGAAAACTTAGATAGATGGTTCATGAAGAATCGTCATGATCTTGTGTAGCCTCGTTGAATATGTTTTATTGTGAACATGGTTCTCGGATACCCGATTTGAAACGTTAACAACATGCCATGAAATTCAAATCTAGATGTAAATTTGAAAGTATAGCATAAACGATGAAAGATTGAATAATTTTGTGATCAGTCGTGAAAGAGTCTCTCACGAATATTTTCGCACAAAAATTTCCTAAAATTAAAAATTCAAGTGGATTTATGATTGCTTGAAGTTTACAGTAACGTAGTTTTGAGAAGGTCTATTCAAATCCTTAAAGTGCCATAATCAGGTCTAGAAACTATGAGATAAAGTTGAGCTTCACGCCGTGAATTAGCTCAAAAATGAGCTAAACTGCTCGGAATGGCACAGAGTCCTTTTAGCAAAAATTTCATAACCTGCAGAATTTTGACTCTGCTGCACAGAGAGCACTCATCTTAAAAAATTGCCTTCGGCACGGGAAAAAAGTGTTAGGGGTTATAATCGAAGATTGTGCAGTACTACCTCAATGTATTGTAGTGGTGCCCAACACTTGGGTTAATAACCTACTTGATTGGAGTACTACCACAATTAATTGGGAATGGTCATACAATCCAAAAAATTGGGGTAGTACCAAAATTAATTGGACATATCATCCAACAACCCCTGCCTCTCCTTTTTTCTCCGTGATGATCTTAGGTACTGTTAATAATCAATACGTCAAAAACGTACAACCATTTTCAAGAAGTTTAAACCGATTATTTATTTAAACAAGAACTTTATGTAACAAAGAAACTGTAACTTCCTGATCAAGTAGAAAATTCGCCGAAGATTTAAATGCTACACACTTCAGAGCCTTGGACTGTAAAATAAGTTTACAACTAAAGCAGGAGCGAACTCGAGACGGTTTCTCGCTGCGTTGACGTTGAGCCGGGTCGACATGGATAAAGACGCAAATTAGTGCGCTGAAGTTTCACCTTGCGTCGCGTTTGGTCTAACCGACAAGAATGAAGGGGCAAATTAGCACGCTCCCCAGACCGGGTGTCTGCGAGGGTAGCGACGGGGACTGCGAATGCTTGCTCGGGGACCACAATAAGCGCGTGCAGCTCTGGAGGTCAGGGTTTATGAGTGTTGCAGAAGTATTGTTCTGCAGTTTCGTGGAAGCTGTGGCCAACGCTGCCGGATTTCGCGAAAATCCCCTCGCTCTCAATCGAGACTTTATGCGTTAGATTTTAGCTTGGACGTTGGCAATGTGGCGAAAGGCGGGTCTGGGTCTTGTCGCCTGTAACTGAAGAAGTTCGTATTTCAATCAGAGCTGAGTGTGGGATGAGGGCCTAGGGTTGGCAAATGAGCAGTCGGGATCTGCATTTCAGATTCGTTCCGTCTGATCCTGCCGAAAAGTTTGGCAATGTTCGCGCGAATGCTTTCTGAGAAGATGAGGAATCACGCTGTAAGAGGCGCACAAGGCTGGGTAATTTGTTAAAGCCATGCAAGTGGATCGATTCAGCAAAATGTTAAAGGGGGAACAAAACCTCGACAAAATTATCAAAATCTTTTGGAATTGGCCAAAATACACTAGAATGGACCTAAAAAACAGTCAATTTAACAGTGCAAAGGGGTTGAGGGCCGTTGCTCCCTCTTGCCCGTTGATACCACGAATAACGGCTATATTACTCGTCTAGTATGGAGGATGCGCTTTTATGTTTTTCTTCTCAAATTCTATGTTCTTCCAAAATCCAACCTGCCAAGCATTGCCAAATTCTCTTTAATAAAACATGAATTTTCTGGCGAAAATGTAAATATTTTTCATTCAATTTTTAGATCATTTTTTTCGCAATGTTATCTAAAGTTCAGGGAGAAAAGTGAAAATTTCAAGGAGAAATGCTCATAACATTCCTAAAGAATAAACATTTTATAGGAGGAAATTGGGTAACTCTCGAATTTTCATACAGCGTTATCCCCTGGCACAACATAATCTCCTAGAGACCAATAATGTGAGTTGCGAGGTTAGGTAGGCCGAAACATTTCTCTCTGCTCTACTCATGTTTACATTACAATAATAGTTATTATTGGGATAAACACCCTTAGGAAAAGAGCCAGTGAGACATATGACTAGCTGTAGTGGGACAAAAAATGAGTAGAAAACACGTATTAGGAGAACCTGACGTGGGGGAAAAAAATACACTGGAAAAAAACACATTGGATCTAGAGTCCAGACTCTTAAAAACATCGACAAGAAAAAGTACTCTTGATTCGATCATAATCTAGCTTAAATCAAGAACCAAGCCTCTTAATTTAAGCGGATTTTGTTTTGATTCAAGCAAAAATCCAATTGAATTAAAAGTATATTTTCTTGTCAATGTTTTCAAGAGTCTGGACTCTAGATCCAATGTGTTTTTTTTTCCAGTGTAGGAAAAATGACCTAGAACGGCTACATCAAATTGAATCCTTAGATTCTACTTTCAGTGACAATAAATATTTTGGCATTAACAACATCAGCAACATCTTTGATCCACTGTGCGACGGTTCTCAGTAAAAAATAGATAATTTGTCAACAGCGATTTGAAGCTCTGAGGACTATCTTCATGCTCGAGATGAAAGAGCCGAGACACCCGAGCCAGTAATTTGCCTCTCCGGGTAGGCCGAGACCGAGCTAAATCTATTTTCAAAATCGCATCACCGTATTTATTTTTAATCCTGGAAATCGAGTTTAATCACGACTTACGCCGTGTGTTGCAGCTCCAACCTGCCGGCAAACATCCTTCAACTTCGCTCCAGGCCCCTGAATTTATTTAAAATCCCACGACTGCAGTCGCGAACGAGCTAATTTTCTGCTAGTTTGCATTTAACGTTTGGGTGAACATTCCCAGCGTTGCGTTGTCCTTTTAAGGTTAGTCAGAATTAAAGTTTAATTTTTTTACATCAAGTATTTTTACAAATCATGAAAAGATAGCATTGAATTAATGCGGCGCACAGTGCGGCCCTCTGTGGACAAAAATAAAAAATTCACAACTCGACATCTAAACATTTTTTTTTTGGAGTTCATCATCTTAGAGATGTCTTGACCCACAATGATGGCTCATTTTCAAATTTTTTCGCTCAAAACTACTTCAAATTTGGGTAGAAAGTGGGCGCGAAATGGGTTAAAAATCACTGGCCCATAAGAAATACACGGGAAAAAGACGTTAACTTCAAATGAAGATTTCACGCTTGAAACGCAAAATGCTCTGGGTGGTTCACATTTTCTTAATCCTCAGATATCCAACTTCAATTCTATCAAAAAGATCTTGCGACTTTTTGTGACTATTAGAGATATTTGAAGTTAAAGTTTGGGTGTTTCACGTTGTTGCTTTTACATTGTTAACATAGGGCTAATTCGAGGTTGCCAACTTCGAATGAAATTGCCACGAAAAATACGCAAAAAGTCCTGAGATATAACATTTTCTTATTCCGCGAATGTTTTACTTTGATAGTGCCAAAGGGCTTTTCTAGGTCGGTGCCACAATCCTCATTATTTAAAGTTAAGTGTCTTTTTACCGATTTTTGTTCACATCGTCCATAAGGATGCAGCATAGTGCGGCGTCTGGCGAATCAGTTGCGCTGGTCGTAAGGGTTTTGGTGCTTAAAACCTACAGATTGGCAAGAGATGTAAGTATACCCTACCCAGTAGCGTGCGAAAGGGGGGTAGGGGGGCCTGGCCGTTTCTAATCTTAATATTAACTGAGATATCACCCATCGAAAAACATATAAGATGGTATCATCAACCGTGTATTATATATGGTCGTTTTCTGTTCCAACTTAGCTTTATGAGTAATGTACGTGTAGGAACAACTATGCATATGGGTGCATATGGCGTTAACAGCCGTATTTGCCGAGGGGCTATGTGTTTAGTAAGGGGTCTTTCCTGTAATAATTTTATGATCCCCCCCTCCCTCGTAATAAAAACGCAGGTTTGCACCCCCTTAAAAGAATTGATCAACGCTCTCTTTGATCTTTTCTCCTCTTGAAATGGCGTTTCGTGATACATTCGATGCAAATTTGCCACATCGCGGAGATTTTTCCTCTTAAATTTTCGAAAACAGCGCTAAATGGCTTCCCTTAAATAAGCGTCACGTATTTTAAGAACGATCTCCCATGCATAACTTTATTGATTTTTTTAGTTTCAACCACCAATCCAAGAGATAATGGCCGTCAAAACAAACACATTACGTAAAAATTGCATTCACGTGCGAACTCAATGATATTTTGATTGGAATTTCTGCGTAAAATAGAAAATCACATTTTTAACAGTAACGCTTATATTAACAAGAGAGCAATCAATGCTTCGGCTGCTTTCGGTAATGGTGAAAAAACCAACGTGACTCAGGAATTTTCTCGTAAAACTTACGTAAAATTCGTTAGGTTTACGAATGACACATAATCTATGACGCACATAGTTGCATCACAATCGCTGAACAATTAAAAATACTCACTACAGGGAACGAAAGGGAATGAAAATGGTTGAGAGTTGGACACGGAGAGTTGTCAGGGAGAGTAATTGAGGTGTGAAGAATATCATGACGAGCTTTGCGGTTAATTCGTCGGGCTTTTTTTCCCCAAA